CATGATTTATATGAAGTTGACTGTACCAAAAGCCAATCACATGATTTATATGATGCTGACCATAAAATGGCCAATCACACGATTTATATAAAGCTGATCATACTACTCACCAATTACATGATTTATATGAAGCTGATCTTACCAATCACCAATCCCATGTTTATGTGAAGTTGACCATACCAATCGCAAATCACATCATGAAGTTGGCCATAATAATCGCCAATTAAATGATTTATATTAAGCTGACCATACCAATCGACAATCAGATGGTACATATGAAGCTAATCATGCCAATCGCCAATCACATGATTTATATGAAGTTGAACATACCAGTCGCCAATAAGATAATATATATGAAGCTGATCATACCAATCAACAATCACATGATTTACACGAAGCTGATCATACCAATCGCAAATCAGATGAATTATATGAACATGATGATACCAATTACCAATCACGTGTTTATATGAAGCTGATCATACCAATCTCCAATCATATGATTTATATGAAGCTAAACATATGAATCGCCAAACACATAAATTATATGAACATGGGCGTACCAATCGGCAATCACATGATTTATATGAATCAGTCCATAATCATCTCCAATCAAATGATATATATTAAGCTACCAATCGACAATCAGATTGTTCATATGAAGTTGATTATAACAATCGCCATTCACATAATTTATATGAAGCAGACCACACCAATTACCACTCGCATGATTTATATGTTGCTGACCATGCCAGTCACCAATCAGATGATTTATATGATGCTGATCATACAAATCCCCAATCAGATGCGTTATATGAAGTTGTCCGTACCAATAGCAATTCAAATGATTTATATGAAGCTAATAATACCAATCGCCAATCACATGATTTATATCAAACTGACCCTATCAGTCTCTAATCACAGGATTTATATGAAGCTGACTATAGCAATACCACTCGCCATACCAATCGACAATCATATGATTTATATGACCGTACCAGTCGCGTATATGAGTCACCAATCAGATGACCATTTGACAATCACATGATTTACAAGCTTGATCCATACATTTATATGAAGATGACCCTACCAATTGCTAAACAGATGATTTATATGATGAAGTTGATCATACCAATCTCAATCAAATAATTTATATGAAACTGACCATACCAATTGACAATCACCTGATTTACAAGAAGTTGGCTAACTAACCGCCAGTCACGTGATTTATATGAAGATGACCCTACCAATTGCTAAACAGATGATTTATATGAAGCTGATCATACCAATCTCCAATCAAATAATTTATATGAAACTGACCATACCAATTGACAATCACATGATTTACAAGATGGATTTATATGAAGATGATGATTTATATGAAGCTGATCATACCAATCGACAATCAATATTTACAAGATTTATAACCGCCACCGTGATTTATATGAAGAATCCTACCAATGCGTATTTATGAAGCTGATCATACCAATCTCCAATCACATAATTTATATAAAACTGACCATACCAATTGACAATCACATGATTTACAAGTTGGCTAACTAACCGCCAATCACGTGATTTATATGAAGATGACCGTACCAATTGACAATCAGATGATTTATATGAAGATGATCATACCAATCTCCAATCACATGATTTATATGAAGATAACTATACCAATCATCAATCATATGAGTTATATGAAGTTGACTGTACAACTGCCAATCACATGACATATATAAATTTTACCGTACTAAGCACCAATCACCTGTTGAAGTTGACCGTTGGAATCTCCAATCACATGATTTGTAAGAATCTGTCCCTACCAATCCCAAATCACATTATTTATGTGAAGCAGACCATACCAATCGCCAATCACTTCATTTATATGAAGGTGACCCTACCAGTTGCCAAGCACATGATTTATATGAAAGGGACCGTACAAATCGCCATTCTCACCATTTATATGAAGCTGTCCATATAAATCGCCAATCACATTTGTATTTGACCGTACCAATCGTCAATCACATGGTTCATATGAAGTTGATCTACCAATCGCCAATCAAATGTGTTACATGAAGCTTGCTTTACTAATCGCCAATTACATATGTTACATGAAGCTGGCCGTATCCAATCGCCAATTACATGAGTTATATGTATGTGACTTTACAATCACCGATCACATAACATATATAAATTTTACTGTACTAATCGGCAATCACCTGATTTATATGAAGTTGACTGTTGCAATCGCCAATCACATAATTTATATGAATTTAACCGTACAATCTCCAATCACATGATTTATATGAAGCTGGCCATACCAATCGCCAATCACATGGTTTAAATGATGTCGGCATTAAATAACCCATTGAGTTTGATATGATGTAAAAAAGTAAAAACAAAAACGAAAAGTAAGGTGGACCTCGCTAAAGTTCTACCGGTTTCTTTCGCGAGAAAACACTTTTAACCTTCGATCCGCGAAAACGGTTGTTTACAACTGACTGTTTATATATTTCTGGGCGAGTTTGTCACCAGGCCTGACACTTATACGAATGTCTTGGTCGGACGAGTCTCTTTACAAACAAGACTCGAATTTTTCGGTTAATGTTTTGGTCTTGCTGTGTTGTGCGAAACTGACACAGCCTCTCCTATGTACAATTTCTTCATCTCCCTCACTAAATTTGTTGTAATTGGATGATTAACAGTATATCTATAAATATGTAGAAACTACAAAAGGAATAAAACTGTTTGACAAAAATGACTGTAACAGTCTGTCTATGCGGTGGCATCAGGGTGATTTTTTTTTTTTGATTTTTTTTTTTTTGCTGTTCTGCAAATCCTTCAGATTGAAAAACGAATCTGATCTCATAAACACGTACGTGCAAACGCGCTGGTTTTCCTGCAGTTGCACAGGGGATGACGTTACGCAGAAGTGTCAATCAAACAGAGAAGGCAAACAGACAGATAAGCAAATAAGTAATGGGTCAGAGTGTACTTGTCTCATCGGGAAATCTCGTCTATCCATAAAGATATCAAATCGATTATAGTACCTCGGATAGATACATTTAAAGTTCATCTAATCGCTGGATTTGCATGAGCTTCCATGAAGTGCACGGGAAGACTTCCGCAAAGATGCATGAGGTCTTCGCTCGCCTGTTTGAAAGTCAATGGTGGAATTCCGTGTAAAGGTTAATAGACTCTCGGGGAACGAAACAGATTGATAATGTTAAGATAAGGAGCTAAAGTTTTGCACGGCATGTATATTGATGCACATTCAGAAAGAGAAGCATTCACACCTCAGAATGAAACTGGCAATGATATATTTAATACAAACGTGAATACGCCAAAACAAATACACGCAGATTATAGGGAAAAGGGAATCGTAATATTTCTATAAAACTTGTTACAGAAAGTATGGTGTATATATATATATATATATATATGTGTGTGTGTGTGTGTGTGTGTGTGTAAATTAAAAAACAATAGGAAAACTATATTATTAGCCGATGCGTTTCATCCAATGTGGAGTTTTTCAAGGCAAAAACGAAATGAATTCATTGAAAACATAACTATTAACAGAAAACAAAATGATCTTAGAATTTAGAAAACGCTATTGTATTCATATTGTCAACTAAAAAGTACGTCAAGGACTATTACTTACAGAAATTTTCATTTGATATTATGAATACAATAGCGTTTTCTAAATTCTACTAGTTGATAACGACATTTAATTTGTTAGTAGTCACTTTGTTTTCAATAAATTCATTTCGTTTTTACCTTGAAAATCTCCACATTGGACGAAACGCCTCGGTTAATAATACATTTTTCCTGTTGTTTTTACCATTATACATATTGCCCTTTTCTACAGGTTAACTCTCAGAAATTTTCATATATATATATATATATATATATATATATATATATATATATATATATATATATGCGTATGCGCGTTAGTGATTTGAATAAGCGCGTTAAGGGAATTCGAGAAATAAAACAGAGCAAAAATGTTAGTAATATTGTTAAAAATACTGATAATATTTATATTATATAAGCAGGAATTATAACCAAAGGGAAGCATGAAGAAAAAGATTTTAATGTCGAGTTTTTCTGACACAGCTGTATACTTTATCAACGAGACAAGAAATAAAGAATGAAGTGGGACTCTCTTTTTCAGAGAATTTGGTTTTGTCGGAGTCTTTTTTTTCTTTTTTTTTTCCTCTCCGATGTGTTGTATTACCGGAAGAAATTTGATAGTTTTTGCCTAGTAGCTTGCCACGATTAAGCTTGTGGAGATTTTGTAAAAGGCTTTGTAACCCTAAATTCCTATTTAATCCTATAATATTTGAATATATATATATATATATATATATATATATATATATATATATATATATATATATATATATATATAGTACAGGTGAGCGATCCGTTGGCCGATCCTAGGAACTAATATCAAACCATTAAAGATGAAGAAATATTCTCTTAAGATGTGCTATATTTATGGGATAAAGTGCTCAATATCAGGGATACAGCGTATGTAAATATGAATATAAAAAGTGAACATTGAAGTCAATACTCAGAGGCTACAGTCTGTTTCATGCTAGACGTAATCGCCAGGGCGGCCTGACGATTGCTTCTAGCATGAAACAGCCTGTTACCTCTGAGTGTTGACTTCAATGTTTACTTTTATATTGATATATATATATATATATATATGTGTGTGTGTGTGTGTGTAAGATAATGATATATGTTTTTATTATTCTGTATATGTGTGTGTGCATGTGCGTGGCGATGATGATTGAGAGAGAAAATGTGTTACCGAAAATGTGTGTTAAAGATTTATACATATATATAGTTGATATAGTGTTTATATATAGTGTATGAATTTAAGAGTATGTCTATATTTTTGTTGAGAGGAATACACACATACACACACAACTCCAAAATATACATAGAGAGCAAAAAAAAAACATATGCCTATGTACATCAGTTACATTTGCATTAATAGATAGATAGATAGATAGATAGATAGATAGATAGATAGATAGATAGATTTTTTAAAGAAAACTATCAGCCCCTACATAAAAATTGAATTCTCATTTTTTTTTTAAATTCCTAAATGCTTCTAAACAGAACAATTTCTTTTAAACAAAACATTGGTAAACATACCAGTCTTCTCTGGAAATAGTAAATTCCTTTTTCATTTGCACAAAATAATAGAAATATTTCAAGCAAACCAAAACACAATAGTATCAATATTGTGAGTCCCTCCACCACTTAAGAAATGTCCTTTTCGTTGAGCCAGAGTACAAAAGACTGTTGTTTATTGGTCTACTTTAACTTATTAATTCTTTGAGCTTGTGAACTGAACTTAACACACGATTCTCTTCAATTATACAACCAGTAAAACAAGTAAGGATTTGAACTGACATTTTTAAAGCATTCTGTCAAGAAGAAAAGAAATTAGTTTGGACTTAAGACAAAAGAATTGTTTGTGCTTTCAAAGCAGGAAGAGTATTTACAAGTGATCAAAACATTTCGCAGTGTCAAGAACTGAAGTGAAAATATTATGTAGAAGTTCAAAGAGTATTTTGAGTGTTTTATTTAATTTTTGTTTCTGTATTAAAAGCAAAATAACATACGATTCCGAAATAAAAGTAATATATATATATATATATATATATATATATATATATATATATGTGTGTGTGTGTGTGTGTGTGTGTGTGTGTTAAAACAGCACTTTGAAAATAATTTCCTCAAATGAATACATATAGAGATGGATAGATAGATATTATTAAAAAGAAAAACGCACAAAACAGTGAACATTTGTACGTCTCCAAAAAATAATAAAAGACAAAAGTTTAACGAAACATTTATTAAAGAAGGTTTGCTGCCCAAATATATATGTGTGTACGTAGCAAATGATTTACAAATGCAAACATACTTTTCTTTTCTCTCTTTATATATATATATATATATATATATATATATATATATATATATATATATATATAAAAGAATTGATGTGTTTATATTTCTAATCCAACATATTTTATTACTAAAAACAACACTTTTAGTGAATACCCGTGTTTGAGTAGAACGCCCTATTTTTTAAAGTGTTTATTTCGCCTACCGGCCTTAGGCCTCAATAAAACATAATAAAGAAAAAACATAAACGGACCTCCGTCCAAACCCAATGAATCTAAAAAATATATTGTCCAACCAACTAAATCTATCACATCTACAATCGAAAAGAATTTATCTAAACACAACATAAGATTTGTTACTACTTCATGTAAAGCAATAAAAACTTAGTCAATACTAAACAAAACAATAAGCTAAAACTTGAGGGAGGAATTTACTTGATCGCCTGTAAAAATTGCCACAAAAAATATATAGGAGAAACCTCAAGGAATCTCAATAAAATATTATATGAACACAAAAGGGACAGTTTATAAAATAATATATCAAATGCGTGGGGTGCCCACCGTAACTAAACTGACCCCGACTTTGACATAAAAAAATGCTACTTTGATCAAAGGAGAAAACAAAAATGTTCAGAAAGTACCTTGATCGCAAGGGTATCCTGAGTAAATTTGCGCCCTGTCTCTTAAAACATTTCACAATTCCTACCAGATCTCTAATAACAATCGGCTAGATCTAAAAAAATAAATAAAATTTCCAACATCCCTCATTCATGCGCATGTGTAGTCGCACCGACATAACACATTTCGTCCGATAAATTCCTAAAAGACGACCGTCCTTGATATGACGATAAACTATATCCGACAGCACGGCCTTTGATAATGAGGTTTTGAGGAGCATGGAACCACTTCTTAATTGCTGGTGTTCCTAGGTCCACTCTGACCTGGGGTGGTAGCACCTGTCAGGGTCCCAGCTACGGGCAAATAATTACACCCCACCCCCAGAAAAGGGGATCAAAACTCTATGAAAATATAAAAATAAGTTTTAATATAAGCAATAGTTTTGGGGGAAAATTATTACCAGCAGTACATTTTACAATCAATATATTTTTTATTTTTACATATTGCGGGAGACAAACATAGTTTACAAATTCAAGTGCCCTTTGGGAGATTGTATCTCCAACGAATTAAATAATATTTATGTTGGTCACATAACAAACTCACTTTCACAACGCTTGACAATACATTTGAATGGTGGCTCTGACATTTTTGGGCATTTAAAACAACATGCCTGGCCGCATACACAATTCCGGAAAATCCTTGTTGAAAACACAACTATACTTAAACATGAAAACAATAAACAAAAACTAAAATTTCTTGAAGCTATATACATAAAACAGTTGAAACCTAACCTGAATAAACTATAAAATCTCCACAAATATTCTTAAATGCCTATAATTGGTAACAGAAGCTATTGGTTTATACCACCAGCTTCTCATACTTAATACATCTTGAATTCACTCTCACGTGGTCATGTGTGACGTCATGAGCTGCGATGCGATTTTTGCTTCTAGCGTCTTATATGCACGAGTTTGTCGTTGCTTGGAAATCTTCCATGTAAACAGAAACAGACTCTCATCACATTCTTGTCCGTGTATTGCTTAATATATTGTAATGTAATTGTCATCTTTAATAATGGCTTATGTAAGCCGAAAGCTTAGATAAGATTAAAAAATATGCATCAATATTGTGATTTTCTTTCTTCGTTTAATGATAATGTTATTAAGCTTATCAGACGATATGAAAAGAATTTACATAAAATAAATAGACAACACTATATATATTATTTAATGAAACATGTATCACTGAAAAAATGCTGCCTAAATACACACACACACATATATATATATATATAGAGAGAGAGAGAGAGCGACAGACAGAAAGACAGAAAGAGACAGAGAGAGAGAGATTGTTTACTTTCTTATATAATTTACCATTCACATTTGCACATTTACATAGGGAGAGGGTATGTTTGTTTTCGTACATGAGTCGTCATTTGCATTTAGATAGATAGATAGATAGATAGATAGATAGATAGATAGATAGATAGATAGATAGATAGAATGAATGAATGAAAGAGAGAAAGAGAGAAAGAGAGAGACTTATTTATTGAACATCTAGCAAGTGAAACATTTGCATGTTATTCGTTTCTCGCTGCGTTGAAGTCGGTCCGGTCGCCAAATAACACTGTTTATTCCCACAAGCAATACATGAATCCAGAATCTCTTTTCACTCACAAACGCACGGAACGTTCAAACTTAATGGAAAATTCTGATGAGACTTTCGGCCATGCAAAGCAAAAAGTTCTTTTGAATATTTGACAAAAATTTTTAGAAATATCGCAGAAACCTTTTTTCTTTTACAAATAAAAAAAAAATCAGAATTCTCTATAGTATATTTATATCAAAAATATTTTCAGTATCTCTGCGCACGCGCATAACGTTTATCAGCGTGGATCATAAAATCACCAGAATGTGAGAGTCAAATTCTCTTAGCCTTCTTTTTCCATGATGTGTCCTAGAAATGCCAACTAGAGTTTCTATTTTCATTAAAACCGCCTAATTTATCCGTAGAAATCTGAGCAAAATCTCTGCCACTTGGTGTCTCTTCTTCCACTGTGAGTTGATTGCTTAGAATTCTTTGCCATATGAGCAATTGGATATTAAAATGGGATTCATTTCTCTTTTCATTGATGTTTACTAAGCACCAATTCATCAAGTGTATTGGGATGCGGAACCTTATTGGTCCACGGCCTACACTCAACTCTTACACAGGGTTCCAAGAAGTCGCATGGGCACTGCTACGGTCACACCGGTCAACAGCATCAGCCTGCCGGCTAAATTCTGTGAGGGTAGTCGGAAGCGTTTCCCAACCCGCCCGTTGCTCCTCAGAGGTCAACAACTTTACCTGTAAGAGGAAGAATTTCTGAAAGGAAGGACGTGGTAACCTCACTATGCTCGGTGCAAAAGGAACCGGCAAGTGATTGCACTATTTTCCTAGAATGTCACCCTGAACCACAATTACAGCAGAAATGGCGGAACTGGTGATCACAGCGGGACAAAATACGCTAACTGAATAAATAAATGAATGTCTTTTATAAGAATGCTTCAATCCAATCTTCGGGTCATGTGAGTTTGTATAATTTCGTCAGGGGTACATTATGCGTCATGTTTCAATTATTCTGGAGTCTATTGGGCGTAAATAGTTGTAGATCGGAATGTGGTTATTTGTTAACATTTTGCTCGTCATTTATTATCCATTACCTAATTATTTTTTTTTTTTATTATTTACATTATTCGGACTGTTATCCTCATCTTCATTGCCATATTCACAACGTTTCGGCCGTTGTACGCACCAGCCTTCTTCAGGTGAATCTCTGAGATGAGGTTTTATGATTACTTGCATTATCTACATTATTCGAACTGTTATCCTCATATTCATTACCATACACACGGCCGTTATACTTTAGGTGATTGTAATTTCGAACCAAACCGTTCATTTGTATGAACGTCGTATCATCATTGTATATCTAGTTCCACGTGCCATGCATCTCTGTTATTTCCCTTTTTACTCAAATCTCCAAGTTTTGTTTCACCACTGATGTAGCTTGGTATTGAACTAACAACTCTTTGGGTCTAATCACTGGATCTAACCAACATCTTTATCCACTGGGCCATGAGAATAACAGTCCGAATAACGCAAATAAAAAAATAAATAAATAACAATAAGTAATCATAATACCTCATCTCAGAGATATAGACAGTTTTTTTTTTATTACATTTGTGTTTAAGTGTTCTTTTGGCGACATAAATTTGGTTCTACCGATGAATGCTCATAATTCTACGGGCAAAACATATATATTCAACGCGGAGGTTTTAAGGAAATTAGCAACTATGGTTGGGATTTCTTGAACATATCATGGGGGAAGAAGGTCTAGGGGATTTAACACTCACAGCAGTTTGAATGAGTGGATGCAAAACCAAGGACAAATGGTAATGGTTATAGTAATATCAGCCGTTTCCTTATATCCTTTGATATATATATATATATATATATATATATATATATATATATATATATATATATATATATATGATATATATAAATAGTGTTTTTATTAACATGTATTTATTCTTCATTGTGCATCATAAAAGAAATGTTTCAATCATTTACAGATGCAAGCGTTTCTATAAAACCTGTAGAAATTATTGACTAAACATTTTCTTTTCTTTTCATTAATCTAAGCTTCTTTGTTGATTTCGATTCGTGTAAAAATAGAATAGTTTGCGCTTCAGATTCGTGAAACATATTTTTTCAGTTTCCAGTGAAATTTCATAATAATCAAGAAGAATCTTCGCAAGATATACTGATTTTTCTTTCTTTTTTTTTTCAGTCATGTATGATTTATCAGCAACTCAAAGAAAATGTGAAGTTTTATTTTGCAAAGAATTTAGATGAATATGAATAAATAAAAACGTAGGAAAAATGCTACTCCAAAATTATTCGAAATTCTGCTTGGTAAATAAAATCATAATTTATTCATTGAAGAATTTTTTTCAATCAACATACTCCCCCACTATGGGTTAAGTAGTATCAATTATATCTAGAAAAATCATTATCTCGAAATAAAATTATTAAGGGAATAATCCATTTCCAAAAGAAAGTTACTCCTGCAATCCAAAATATGTCTAGGCTTTAAATAAGCCACAAAGGATTGATAAACTATAAAAAAACAATCAATATAAGTAAATCCAATCATTTCTCTTTAAAAATATTTATTCTAACTTCTGTTTTTTTGCTTTATTTTTCGTTTCTATTTCAATCCAATCTTTAGATTTAGTTTTTGGACTTACCTGAGATTTTAGGAATTTCTATAAAATTTCAAAGCAACTGAATTCATTTCCAATTCCTCTGACATGACCAAAACTTGAATGCATGCAAAATATGATCACAACAGATTCCCACGGAAGGACAGTGAGACAGAAATTCACTTTAAGACAAATATTAAAATCATGAAGTGTTGTTTTCTACTAAGTCTAGGAGCTGAGTTGGGTCCCTTGTAAACTTTCACGTCAAGAGATTTTGAATTTACATAGTGTAACTATACTATCTGATATTCATTAAAAAAAAAAGTAGGTACCATATCAGGTTTGATGATCACTTTTCCGCCATTTTCATTTCAAAATGGCTGCTATTTAACTGAAGGAGAGCTTACTTTAGTGCCAATAACATGTCTCTGTATTGATCAATTTGAGTAAACGTAGTATCATTTTGTAGGGTAATGATTATTCTATCAAGAAAATATATTATAAATAATAATAATGTAATTAATTATATCATTAATGCAAGAAAATATCAAATTACAGTGAGAAATACCAAAAAAATATTTTCATTTCCCTTGAATAGAAAATTATGTACACACACGAATTAAACATTTTTAGTATTTACCTGTAGTCCTGTGTACTGATATAAAAAAAAATCATGTTAAGAGCAACTATTATTATTTTTACCTCAACAAATATGTCGGTTTTTAACCACTACTTTAAATGTCGTAAAAGTAGTCTAGGAGCTGAGTTGGATACCATGTAAACTTTACCGGCAAGAGATTTTGACTTCAGTTATTGTAAATAGACTATTTGAGTTTTATAAAAAAAAGTAGGAGCTGTATTGACCAATTTCAGTAAACTTGGTATCATTTTATAAGGCTATGATTATTCTATCGAGAAAATATATTATAAATAAAACTAATATAATTAACTATATAATTAATGCAAGGAAATATCAAATTTTAGAGAGAAATGCTAAAAAAACATTTTAATTTTGTAGTTTTTACTGAATTTTAAATTTTAAAATAAAATTTGATGACGTTATCTGCTATAGCTGTCGTCAGCAAAATCTTTATAATGCAAATGCATTTATGTATCATTTATTTTTATTCCTGTCAGGTTTCATTATCATGTCATGAGTAAATTCGTCCAAATTTAGGCAAATGAATCAGAACAAATTTGGGTTAAACTGATGATGTCATCATAAAAATTCTGACGTCGGCCGATATTTTTTAAGGTATTATTTTGTTTAGTCAATGCAGTGCCTATATTCATGCAAGTATCAAGGCCATAGCATTTACCTCAACAATTCTACCGGTTTTCAACACCTAATCTGAATTTGTACACTTACTCAAAGCATTGCAAATTGAAAATTTTAGACGGTTTACCAGGCCCATTATGTGTTGTCCAAGTCGTTCCAGAAAAGAAGAGAAATGTTGATTTATGCATTATTTGAGAGCATGTTAACGATACTCAATGTAACCGTAATGTATATAACACTAATGGGCAAGAAACAATACAAAACACTTCATATATACTGCAGGATGGTCATTTGAATGGCTTATCAAGTGCGGACATGAGCAAAATGAAATATCATTTAAAGGAATGTTATTCAAATTATAAGAAAGAGAAATTGATAGATAAATATCATATAAATGCTCTTCTGAGACAGAGTGTGATACTCATATATCAAGTTCTTCAAGTCACAAAAGAGCCATAAAACCACAGGTTTCAAATCCTCAGGATAAACTATGCATCATATGCGATCACATTATATGCCAGGGGCACTCGCAAAGGTATCGTCTCACTGAAGAAATTCCAGCTAAGAACCTCTTGAAAGACATTGCATTCTATAAGAACGGAGTCTACACACGTTGTATTTTCTGAAATCCATTAAAGATATTTATGCAGCTTAAATAAATATCTGAGGCAATTTCGACGCCATGTTGATGAATTTCGATGAAGATGATAAAGACCCTCAGATGCAGAATATATTTGATGAGGAAATGAAACCACTGGAAATATAACGACTTGGTTCTGCCAAATCTGATGTTAGAGACTTGTTGAATGGTAGACTAAATTCAGATTCTAAATTCAACAACAGTAGTTTAAAAAATTGCTTATCAGTCACTTTGCTGACCAGATATGCTTCACATATCCCAAGCAAAAGCACACATCACAGATGTTCTTTTCAGATGACATCATTACTACAATTCTTGCAGAGATATTCCGAACTAATGCAACAGTCAGAATCTGTGCTGAAAGGCGACGTGGTGAATGTTACAATTTGAACTTTAATCTAGAAGGAAGTTTTAATTTGATTGTGGATAAGTTATGAACAATATGCCAGCAATCGTCCAAAACTATGGAAGTCCTTTTCCAATTATATGTTTCCTCATCGAATCAACTCTGATCACATCAGACGCAAAACAAATATTATTACTCAAAGCTTCTATTACAGGCTACACAATAGTTATAGAAAGACGTCATTCCATGTGAGCATATCCCAAGCAATACATGACACACATCACGTTAAAAAACGCTCATAAAAACTATGAAGACATTAGGATTAGGCATTAGCTATGATGAGCTAGAAGAAATTGATATGAGTGAAAGGATTATAAAAACAGCAGGTCGCCATAGAACTCCTATTCCATCCATAATAAAAGATTCATTCATGATCCATGGAGCCATGGATAACTTTGATCATGAAGAGAGGACACCCGCTGGTATAGGTAGAAGCCATGACACTATTTTGATGCTCTTTCAGAAAAGCGATGAAGCATTGGAAGAACAGTGCCAGTAAATCAGCGAAGTTTCACACACATTGTCACTTAAAGCTAAATCTTTAGAGTACATTTTACAGTGCCAGAAGTTAATAAAACGAGGGAAGTTCACAAGCAGAGGAATAATCCAAGAATAATTTAAACCAGGCAAAGAAAGTAACTATTCTTCAGTGACTGAGGCATCTTCTAAATAGCGCAAGATGTGAATACTCATTCACATCTTGAATCTACATGCCCATTAAGTGTGAAAACATCCAATGTGCAATCATTGTCCGCCATAAATAGCTTGTTGATAATGAATTCCAAATCATCTTCCTGTGTAGCATTCACACCAATTAATCCAGACCCTGTCATTGAATTTGATGCAATTTATACCACTATGATAAATTTCCAGGATATTCTTTTGCAAAAGGGAATGAAAAATGTACCTCTTTGGGTGGATGAGGGAGTTTACAGGATAGCAAAAGAGGTCCAATTTCAACAACCAGATAAGTGCAGTAATATCTTTCTAAACATGGGAGTATTTCATCTAGAAAAGTGATCATATGTTGTATGGAGAAGTAGCTGAAGGAAGGGGGCATAGATGCTGTTTGCTAAATGAGAATGAGATATTTGGATAGAATATGGTGAAGTCAGTCATGGATGGTAGCAACTATAAACAAGAGAAAAGGGGTAAGCATCTGATAGCAGAGGTGATGGAACGCTTGCAGACTTCTGCATTTTTTGCAGCAGAATGGAAGTACACGTTTCACAAAATTACGGAAAATAATTGAACACCTGCATTCATTACTAAAAAGGAACAAAAGAAAATCAGGAAAAATATGCTAATCTTGGAAGAAATTTGAGGTTGAAATTTTACATTTTCAATCCAAATGTGGCCAATTCAAACTCCTTGGCTGCCAAAGTAGTAAGTTTTTCCAATATTGGGACACCTTCATTAAGGACATAGCTTCTGTGTTACGAGTTCTCATCAGGTATTTTCGTGATGGTGACTGGAATCTCCATCTATCTGCAGAATGCCAAGCTATTCCTTTGTGTTTCGCCTTTGATCATGTCAACTACAAGTCATGGGTGCCAATGTACTATGAAGACTGTAGCCTTATCTACTAATTTTCCCGACATACATGCCCAAATCTTAGGATCACTTTTTAGTTCGTCATACATCACGAAGTGGAAGTACTATTCCTATCGACCAAAGCTCTTGAACAGATGTATAATAAACCAGCGAAAGGCCAAACAGGAATTATTGTATTCACCAGAAGAAAGGATGCTGACTGCAAGTGGAAAACTATTAAACATGAAAAAATGAAGTATTCTACAAGTGGATAAGTATCTTCTACAAAAGGTATGCTTTATTGACAAAAATGAGGAATATTCATTCCATCATGATTCCTCCATATAAATTTCAGAGACTGATAAAAAGTATGTTTCAGTAGGTTTCGAATATATATTGAGTCATGGCAATCTTTTGGATTTCACAAAATGCTAAGAGCTAGTTAACATCATCAAATCAGTTGGCCTTTTTGCAACCATACCACTCTCTAAAAAACTCAAAAGTTAAAGTAGATTCTTGTTAAATATGACATGACGAAAGAAACTGTAAAAAATAAAGAAGAATCAATGAATATGTAAGATTACGTAATTTTGATAACAATTATAATTGGAAATAACTCCAACATCGTTTTCCTAACAAAAATGGGTATTTAAGGGAGTCAAACAAGGCTATACATGCAACAGAAATTAAGAAACTGATACCAAAAGATTATAATTATATCATTTTTACCATCTAGTCAGCAGAAAAGGACGATAGTTATAGACTTCATGAGATAGGCTAGGAAGATCCCAGTTAAAAAGAAGCAGTTTAAGACATTTCTTGATCTTGTGCAAAGTCTGTGGAGCACATTTAGCGAGAATTCTCAGGGGATTGACATAGTTTTTGACTGATATCATGCAAACAGTATACAAGCTCATGAGAGAAACCGTCGTAGTAAGATTGTGAGCATTTTAACTTTTATTTTCAGACATAATCAACCACTTCCCGGCCCTCTCTGAAAACAAGGTTGAATTGCAGCAAATTTTCATCAACTGGATGAGGATAATGAAGCTTGACACTTTTATATTCTTGGGTGGTTGTCACAAGGAGGAGGAAGTCATGCGCATAATCATTTTTCCGGATTCAAGTACGACAGAGCGTTTGTTAAAATGTTTTCTTGAAGACAGAATTTGGTTTCATGTGAACCACGGTGTGAAAGTGGGAAACTTATATAATGGAATATGCATACACCTGTGCCCCCACCCCCACCCCTCACCGGAGTGTGATTGGCTGGTGTCCGTCATAAATATCGACGGACGTCTAGAAGAGAGCCTTAGTCTGAGAGCTAAGTCTATAACGGTCCCCATTGGACTACCCCATTGGTCTACACTTCTTACCTGCGACTACGACGCGTACCAGTCGATTACTGCTACCATATTCTACTTGGTTATAGTAGCCAAATCAACTTAGCTACTTCGTTCAAATATATCCCTTTCCGGGACATATCAGAAACTTTAAAACTGTAGCTATTGCATCTTCTGATACTAAGGGTTTATATTTCGAAGCCATATCACTATAAGTTTAAAATGATCAAGTAGCATATTTCAGGTCAGGGTCAATCAAAAACATTAGTTGCTGTCCATGAGAAAATATTGAATCTGAAGTTATCGAAATTTTGCCAGCGGTTCACTCCCTAACGGTCTGTGACACAATTAGCAAAGTGGGGACAAAGATGTCAGCATTGAAAGTCGGAAATTACTAAGGATACGAGTTACTGTACTACTTTGGGAAAGATACTATCAACAATGAAATAATATATGCTGAAAAATTTCTACTAATGTGAAACGCATCCATTGATGTTCACAGTTTTAATGGCCTTCGTTATCAAGTTTTATATAAAAAGCAATCTGATTCTGACGCTGAAAAACTGCTGCCTACAACAACAGCTATCAAACAGCATATTCTATGTGCCTTTTTACACTGTCATCTGTGGGTTCATTCAGCTTTCACTGAAGAAATAAAATTGAATCCACTTATGTATGGCTACACATTAGATAACAATGAAGATTTGCAGCCTGCTCTTACTGTTGGACCGTCGATGCATCCCTGGAAAGGTTCTTGTTCCATGCAATTGCTTGAAATATGCGAGACCTAAAGTTTGCACCTGTCAGAGAAAGCAAATTACTTGTAACTTTTGAAAATGTGAAATAAAAACGTCTTGCAAGAACAGTTATTGGTAGTAAAATTCCCCTGTCAAAGACTTTTACGTCATTCAGAGTAATATTATTTGCTGTTAACATGATTTTTTTTAATAACAGAACTACAGGAAAATACTAAAAATGTTTAGTTTGTGAGCGTATATAAGTTTCCATGCAAATAAAATGAAAATATTTTTGGCATTTCTCACTAAATAAATTTGATATTTTCTTGCATTAACGATATAATTAATTACATTATGTTTATCTGTAATATATTTTTCTGGTAGAATGATGATAGCCCTACAGAATGATACTAGGTTTACTGAAATCGGTCAAAATAGAGAGAAGTTATGGGCACTAAAGTAAGCCATCCCCAATAAAATAGCGATCATCTTGAATTCAAAATGGCGAAAAATTGACCATCAAACATGGCACCTACTTTTTTTATGAATCTCAGATAGTATATTTACAATATTTGAAATCAAAATCTCTTAACGTGAAAGTTTACACGGGATCCAACTCAGCTCCTAGGCTATAAGTGAATTTTGCTCCTTTTTCCAGAAAAATGCAGGCTTCGAGCATCTACGAAATCGTTCAATATGAATGACGAGACCACGGCACAACTAGCTTTCTTTTATCAGCAGTTGCAAATTGAAATATCAGAAAATGAAACCACCAAACTAAACATTCTGTGAGAATTGGCCACCTTCCCTGAAATCTGATTAGTCAAAATTAACTGCTTTTTTGTAGAGTAAAGGATGAGTGGATTTTTCAAGGCTAAAAACAGAAAATTCTCACACATAAAATAACTGGTTTCTTCTTCTTCTTTTCTATTTTCACTAAAGTAGGCACCGAGAAAGGTGGAAATGTGAAATAAATGTCCCAGAGAGGAGTTCTAAACTTATAATAAAAGATATGAAACCAAAATTTGATAACATCAAAAGTCAACATCCTGACAAATAGACCATTGTGAAATTCGCACCCAGCTCTCATAGGTCAGAAAGCGAATCTTCTAACCTGTCTGCCAAAAGGAAAAAGTTTATACTTAACATCAAGAAAAGGCAGCTGAAATTTATCGGAACGTAATGAGAAAGGAGGGCTTCGAGAATCTGAAATTCACATGGCAAATAGAGGGAAAGAGAGACAAGGGAAACCAACGCATGACATATCTAGCGGGCTTAAGCAGGTGGATGACAGAACAAGGCCTGGGGGAAGTAGCAAAGGGACAAAACATATGGAGAGCTACATGGGATAGGGAGAAGTGGAGAGCCACGATCGCCTACGTCCTAAAGGGACATGGCAGATAAAAAAGAAAGAAGTAAAAATCTTGATCTAAATTGTAGTTTACAATACAGCTGAAATAGTAAGAAGTTTAGTTTGGTTTGGTTTGGTTTATTTTGTATATTTTTATATACCAACATCTCAATGGGTAATTTAATGCCGACAAGATTTTTAGAATAGGTTCATATGAATAGAATATGTATTCTTTGTAAGAAATCAGTTTGTAGGAGATCAACCTTCATTAATGTATTTTTGTTGAGTTTTTTTTTAAGAATCAAATGTATTGCTGGTAATATTTTTTGGAAAAAAAATGGGAGGGAAATTTTAATCTCTGTATTTTAAATAGACATCCCGTTTTCTTTTTAAATAATGTGTATTACGTCTACCGGCCTACGCACTCGAGAAAACAACATAGGCCGGTAGGCATACTGAAAATAATGCAAAAAAAAACGGTGGATTAAATTTTTTTTTTTTAAGCATTACGCCCCGAGCAAGGCGTGAAGCCACTAGGATGCATGGGGTTGCAGAATATTTGTAACGAGAGCAGATAGGAGGGATAGAAGAAAGGATGAGGAGAGGGATAGTGGGTAGATCAAGGTAACTGGAGATGTCGATTGACATTACATTTGAATAATTGGAGATTATAGCTCGCAGGGAAACAGTAATTTGGAAAGGTGTTCCACAGGCGAGAGGTGCGAGGTATGAAGCTATTGGAGTAGAAGAGACGGCTACATTTAAAAGTTTCTACAGTGAAAGGGTGAGAGCGGGATGCCAGTCTCGTAGGGCGCTTGAATTCATGATGTCTGGGAACCAGTGAAAGCAGCTCATTGGAGCAATTACCATGAAAGTACTTGTAAAAAAGACAGAGAGAGGCAACTGCGCGTCTGTGAGAGAGCAACTGTAGACGAGATGCCACATATCCGCCTCTGGATCTTGTCAAGAACTCCGAGGTAAACAGAAGGTGCCCCAGACCATTTATGGTAGCAATACTTCATGCAAGGGCGAATTGTTGATTTGTATATTTGAAGTATCGATTCCGGGGAGAAAAATTTCCTGGTGCGGCACAGAGAGCCAACTTTCCTCGCGGTGGACGAAGCAATGGACTTTGGTATTTGTTCCATCTCAGGTCAGCAGTCAACGTGAGACCGAGCAGACGCAGAGAGCTGCTCCCAAGAAGTTGACTATCAGACATTCTAATGGGGGAAGGGAAGGATCTCTATGGTGATTAATGGAGAGTAGTTTAGTTTTTGAGGCGTTAAAGTTGACCAGCCAATTCTTGCCCCAATTAACAACCGATTGGAGGTCCATTTCAAGACGAGCGACCAGGTTAGTTTTGCCAGCGACACTAGATTTGTTTTTGAGGCAGGAGTAAATTGTAGTGTCGTCCGCGTAGATGCCAACTTGGGAATCTATGGCGTCAGGAAGGTCGTTGATGAAAATAAGGAATAGAGTGGGGCCAAGGATGGAGCCTTGGGGAACACCTGCGTTCGTGGGATAGAAACTGGGGGAGAATCCGTTGAGAACGACCTTCAATTCACGGTTTGACAGGAATGATTGTATTAGGTCAAACAATCGACCATAACCCTGGAGCTTGCGAAGAAGGCCGTCATGCCAAACCCTATCAAACGCTTTGGAGATGTCTAGGGCCACGGCACGACCCTACCGTTATTTTGAAGGGCTTGGTAGACGGTTTCAGTGATGGCCGTAACCACATCAGCTGTAGATCTGGCGTAGCGGAAACTGTATTGCTTGTCTGAGAGCAGGTCGTGTGAGGTAAGGTGGTTAACCACTTCAGCATTGATTAGGGCTTCGAAGACTTTGACGAAGAGGAGTAGGAGACTAATAGGACGGTAATTAGAGGGGTCAGAGGGGTCTCCAGAGTTCTTAAAGACAGGAACAATGGATGAGAACTTCCAGCAGTCAGGAAAACAGGATTCCTTGAGGCAGTAATTATATAGTTTAGAGAGGGCGAGCGCAAGCTCAGGCGTGCATTTCTTCAAGACAATGGCTGGTATGCCATCTCCACCACTAGCCTTGTGGGGGTCTAAGTCTGTCGTTCACTTCTGAACCGACAGTTCGGTTGAACTCTCTGCCTTCGGGCGGAGAGGAACCCGAACGAGGCTACCGTTCAATGGGCATATTTTGGGGCCGAGCCCACAATAAATAACCGACCTTGTGTCACATGATGCCCCAGTGGGGTGGGGGTAACTAAATATCGTCAATCGTTCACTTCTGAGGCGCAGTATTTATTAAGTATGGAATAGTTCATTATTATTATTATGGGTAAGATCCCATGACACCCCCCCTTCCGAAGCTTTTGCGTAGCAGGGTTTTTTTTAATATCTTTTTTTCTTTGGATCTATTTCCAAATGTTCAGTGAATTTTATTTTTCTTGACGATTTTCTTGGTTCTGGCATTGTTTGCGATCTTTTTATATCGAATGTGTCGAAAATCGTGTCCAATACCTCTTCTTGAGATGGACCGTTACCATCCTGTAATGGTATCTTCCTTATTTGGTTTACGTGTCTTCTGTGTGAGAATTTTTTTCCTTGTACTATGTACATCATATTACCAATTCTTTTCTCAATTATGCCTTGATCCTAGTAAGAGGTATTATTTTTATATACCTCAAAAAAAACTTTTTCTCCTGGGAGGAATTTTCTTTTTGGTGCGTAGGACTGTGTTACTTGTTTTGAACTTTCTTCATCGACTGGAATTTGCAGGTACGCCTAACTTAAATCAATTTTTGAAAAATATTTTCCGCCATTTAATTTAGTGAATACTTCTTCTGGACTGTGTAGAGGATAGTTGTAGTCCTTTATTGCTGCGTTCAAACCTGTAGAAAAATCAGCACAAACTCGAATTTCTCCTGATTTCTTTTTGACGTACACCGTCGGTGCGGCCCATTTGCTGTATTCTACTTTTTTCAATATGCCCGTATTTTCGAGTCTAGTTAATTCTTGGTCATTTTTTTCTATTGACGCAAACGGTACGCTCCTTTTTTCTTGAAAACAGGTTGAACGTTTTTCCTTTATTTCGATATTAGCTGCCATTTTCTTAAATCTTTCGAGACCTGCTGAAAATACTTCGGGGAAACTCGTTTTTAGTTTTCCTTTTAATTTGTCTGCCTCGGTTGATAAATTTACATAAGAATGTTTTGAGAAGTGCTTACGATAATCCCCTCTCTCGATGTTTAGACTTGTCCATGATGAATTTTCCCTTCAATGCAATTTGCGTAGAAAATAAAACAATGACGGACTGTCGACTGTGGTGATCGTCGTATGTTAGTCGCTGATTTAGAATCTTAGAAATGTAAGATGCAGTCATTTTTCAAGTCTGCATTCAATCTTTATCTAATTCTAATCAACTCTCGGGTGAGAATATCACGGGGTGTGTCGAATGGAATTATATAATTTTTGGCAATGGGTACGACATACAGACTAACCGGTTAACACATCTAATACTTCAGTGCGCGTGCGCACACACAGAAACGCGCACACACCTAGCGTATATGAGTTCTTGTCTAACCAAAAATAGAGTTAATCAAATGCTTTGGATGCCGACTATGAATAAGAACAATGAAACACTAACTAATCAAATATGACAAGCGTGGAGACATTTAATTTGATATAAGCAAATCGATAACTGGAACAGTTTGAACAGAATACAAAGCAAAGAAGAAACAAATTCCAATTCAAAATTAAAAGCTATAATCTTTAAAATATAGTCGCTTACGACCATACCATTTACTCTTCAGATAACCGAAGTTAAGCAAAGTCGAGCATAGTCACTATCTATATGAGTGACCTTGCCGTGACAGAAGATTAGATGTGCAGTTGAGGTAATGAATAACAGCTTGGAATAAGGAAAGGAAGAGTTGAGTTCGAATTCCAGTCGGGTTCCTTATATTCATTTAGGCGGAAATAGGGCAAATAGCATTGAGCGATCATGAAGCGAAAAGGAACATGGTCACCGAAGCATGTCACAACCCCCTCTTCGAATAATAACCGGGCCAGCGACGTAGAGTTAGGGCAATGTCCCAGTCCTCGTCGTGAAACAAATGAAGGTCTACGTCCAACAATGGAGCTTGACTGGCTAGGAAAATATATACATTATTTTTCTCTATAGATTATCAGTTTAGGTCTTAATATTTATTTTTAGAGTGTTTTTTTGTTTCTTTTTTTTCCATTTTGAAATGGACAAGTCCAAGGCATGCTAATGTCCGTTTCTTTCCTGCAAATTACGCTATCATCTCAAAGAAAAAGTTACAATTTACGAGTGTTGGCCGAAAAGTTCATAAGCTGGCTATGAAGAAGGGATGCTAGAACTGGGAAATTTCGCATGCATTAATTTCATCTCTTTTTTTTTTAATAATAACAGCATTTTTTTTTCCTGTTAAACTAACTGGAGTTGAAAAATAAACCTCATGTGGTCACATTCTATGATAGTATCATGGTCAGCCTATGAACACTTCAGCTGACCCTAGCATATTTAGATAGATAGATAGATAGATAGATAGATAGATAGATAGATAGATAGATAGATAGATAGATAGAAGCAAAAATACTGGGATAGATAGATAGAAGCAAAAATACTGAGATAGATAGATAGATAGATAGATAGATAGATAGATAGATAGATAGAAGCAAAAATACTGAGATAGATAGATAGATAGATATGAGCAGACTGAAAGAAATAGAATAAAAATTAGAGAGTAAAAGAGAGATTTTTATTTGATTGTTTAACGGCATATTAACTCGTTATGGGTCATTTAATGCCGACATTACATTTTCTTGTGAGTTTTGATGTAATAAAATATGTTATTCTGCTTTCACAGTTGACTACATGGTAGCTGATACTAAGCTTTGGTGCATATATGTGTTTGTGTGGACATAATTACTAATTAATTACGCGCGTTTTATGTGTAGTTTTATTGTAATTAAGTTTGATTTTTTTAAGAATATGTAGTATATTGTGTGGATTAATGCCCTGAAAGAGTCATCTCACCTTGGTGTTTGGTCGGTTGATTGATTTTGTTTAACCCCAATGGATTATTAATGCCAAGATCTAAATATTATGAACTCAATCTTCAACTAAACATATTTTTGAACGCAAATTTATGCCTTCAGCAACAGATGAAATGTTTGATTGATCACTTTCCTATAAAATGCATGGCTTGTAATTCTAATATAAAATATATTGCTGGTCAATTTGCTTTAAAAATGTATTGTTGTTAAGTTTACTATAAATATGTATTGTTGGTAATTTTTTATATAAATATGTACTGCTTGTATTTTTATTATAAAAATGCATTTATATACTTTCATAGTGTTTTGGTTTTGTTTTAGGGGGGTTACTATCTGTCCCAGTTGGGACCCTAACAGGTGCTATCACCCCTGGCCAGGGTGGACCTTCGAACAACAGCAATTAAGATGTAGTTCTACGTTCCTTAAAACCTTCAATCTCCCGACCAGTGGTCTTGCTGTCGGATGTAGTTTATCGTCATACCCAGGATTAACATAGATAGATAGATAGATAGATAGATAGATAGATAGATAGATAGATAGATAGATAGATAGATACGCGAGAAAATAAGTAAGATAAAGAAAGAGGATGATAGATAGATAGATAGATAGATAGATAGATAGATAGATAGATAGATAGATAGATAGATAGATAGACGAGAAAATAAGTAAGATAAAGAAAGAGGATTGTAGATAGATAGATAGATAGATAGATAGATAGATAGATAGATAGATGAGAAAATAAGTAAGATAAAGAAAGAGGATTGTAGATAGATAGATAGATAGATAGATAGATAGATAGATAGATAGATAGATAGATAGATAGATAGATAGATAGATAGATAGATACGCGCGAAAATAAGTAAGATAAAGAAAGAGGATTATAGATAGATAGATAGTTAGATAGATAGATACGCGAGAAAATAAGTAAGATAAAGAAAGAGGATTGTAGATAGATAGATAGATAGATAGATAGATAGATAGATAGAAAGAAAAGCCTGTTTGTCTTCGAACCCAAATTGTCATTTACATTTTGATAGATCGAAAGTTTAAGTTGATCTCAACTCAAGTTTCGTAGAATTCATCCACTCTTCTTTTTATTTTAAAATTTTACAATTTTATTTCATAACCATTTCCCCATGAGAGTATGCTTTCATAAACATTTTAGATATAATACACTGTAAATTTACATATTTATTTTTCACGGAACCTGCTCTTCACTAAGTATTCATGAGATATTCCGTTGTTATGGTTACAAGTGAACTTTTCGCCTATACCGCAAATTGCTACAAACCAAAACATTAACCTGAAAAACCGAGTCAATTTCTTAAATAGCCTCGTCAGATCGAGATGTTCATATGGATGTTAGTCAAGCCCATTCAAAAATATCTACACTTTTAGCTATAAACAATCGCTTTCACAGATCAATGGTTAAAAATGGTTTCGAGCGAGTGAAGACCACACTTCTTAGAACCTTGTAGACTGGTGCTACATAATCATAGACAAATAACTGTACCAGAAACGATAATCAATTGAGGACTTTCAGGATCAGCAACAATTAAAATGGATAGCACCTGAAACTGGAAGAGAAAATGGTGGCATAATCAAAATGTTGATAATACACACTACTTCAAATTAAAAGGTTAGGAATGATACCAACATGAATACTGGAAAGAAAGATCACAGCTGCTAGATAAGACAGGTCCGGTGCGTACTACCTTCAAACCCCCTAAACGGTGGGGACAGGCCTGATTTAGATCCCCGGGCAATGTTTTCTGACCTTCACTATATTATCATCATTTTTTGTAACTACGTTTATATACGTTACAAATTAAACTATGTACAATTAACTTTTAAAGGATGAAAAATTTTGAAATCATTCTACCTTTTTTGTCCAAATTCGTGAATTTTGTTTGCTCATGGTAAGTCTCAAAAATATACATACAGTTTAATATATTTTATCTATAATGTTGAATGTGTTGAAATTATTCAACCTTTTAACAAGAGAAATCAAAATTGATGTTAAAAATTGCCGCAAAACATTGTTGATATGAGGTATTATGTACAGTATTTACATTAGTCGGACTATTGTCCTCATCTTTGTCGCCATATTTGTCACAACGTTTCGGCCGTTGTACGCTCCGGCCTTCTTCAGGTGGTTGGAATTTCGAACTGAACCCTTTATTTCGATCGCTGGGGTAGACTGTTCTAATTCCACGTGCCATGATAACAGCAAAAATTGCAATATGAGCACTGGTAAAAATGATGCTGAAAACATTAGGTTTATAATACTCAAAAGTTCATACCCAGATGTCCTCAAGGACACATGGCACAGTGGATAAAGGCGTTGGTTAGATCCAGTGACAGACCCAAAGAAGATGAGTTCAATTCCTGGTTAAGGTAGTGGAGAACTTTCAGAGGGAAAATTAGCAGGAGATAACTGATAACTGACATCCATCAAACATGGCACGTGGAATTAGAACAGTCTACCCCAGCGATCGAAATAAATTTCAGTTCGAAATTCCAACCACCTGAAGAAGGCCGGAAACGTTGTGACAAATATGGCGACAAAGATGAGGACAATAGTCCGACTAATGTAAATACTGTTGATTTATTTAAGATGGAAGGATTTATTATAACGTGTCTCTAATTTATATTTAGATACATTGTATGTATTTAAAATTTTTCTAGGTGAATTTTTTTAGCTATATTGCATATGATCAATAATTGTACATAATTAGGTTATAATACAAATTGTATTTTATATGAATTCTAGCTTATGAAAATTGAGATGTGATGAGTGGGAGTCCCGTAACATAGTTTCGGAGAGTATCATAAATTCGATTGGTATCATACATTCGGTGGTGGAGGACAACCGCTCAGTTGCTAGACACGAGGAAAAACTTTCCCTTTTTTAAATTGTTTTAAGAGAAAGATTTTATAAACTGTAGTAATGTCTGCTCGGTCAAAGAACGACGGATGTTTTCTTATAAAGAAACGGTTAATATTAACATTACCATTACCATTTGTTAAGGCCCATCAAACGTCATTTCGGATAAAATAGTAACCTGCAATTTCTTTAATCAAAGAAGGCAATTGGTTCAATGTCTTCCCGCTGAAGCTTTTGTTCGTTCAGTGTCAAATGATTGAGAATAAATTCATTTCGCAAGCATTCCGGTTAAAACTGCATTCACATCTTAGGCATTTCAATTTATTATGCCTTAGCCGTAGGGAACGGACTGAACACTTCACTCCGGAGAAACTGTACGCATCTGAAAAATGTGTGATGTCCGACCCTTGTGACCTTTCGATGGCGACAAGAGTGCAAGATTAAAACGAACTCAAGTAAAATAAGTGCAGACTTTGGGCAGCAGAATCTATCATCGATTGATGACAGTAAAGCTAGACTTCGTCACGATGTTACCATCGTCAAATTGGAATTAGATTTTATACAGTTCTCCTGCAGGCGTAAGAGGCGAAAAGGTGCCGTCGTAAAATAAATGTACAAGCACTGCACACACATACACAAACTCACACACTCATACATACACACACACACATATATATTGGGATTTGTAGACACTTTTGTGTGTACGGTGTACGTCTTTGGGTTCGAAAGACGTTATGCATGCACTAACATTGAGCAAGTGAATAACAAAATAAGAAAAAAAAAATCTTTCGTGACACCTTTTATTTCCAAGGAGGAACTTTTCAACCTAAGTTATTAGTCTGAATAAATTTCTTCTCGGAACGAAATGCATCATAAAGGATTATTAATTCTTGTTTTTTTTGTTTTTTTTTGTTAGCAATGACTTCGCCATAAGTTGACTGTTTTACATACAGTCACCCACACCCACACACACGCACATGTATACATACATACATACATATATATGATTAATAGAACTAAAAATGTGGACAGGAATGTTGTTGTAGATGTCTACATTCATAATATAAAAAAATTACTGATCGACATCACAACTATACTACAACGAAATATAAAAAATCGAAGCTACAGATCCTAGAATTAATTTATATTAAAAAATTAAAGCCGGCACTGAACAGAATTAACTATGTATACTGCAGTAATTTTCTGAAATGTCGAGAAAGAAAGAGTTTTTCACAGTTTAATGCGCTTATGACCATGCCGTTATAATATAGAGGAAAAAATTCCATGATGGATAATTTTTTGACGTTCTAATGAACGCTCAGCACATTGTCAACCGTTTGCATTGAAAAGCATAATGCAAAAAATTACGGTAATGGTTAACAACGCACTGCTTTGTATAAATACTTGTACCCTTGAACAACATAGTTTTGTACTATTTGCACCCCTGAAGATGATCTTGGAAAGATCGAAAGTACTAAGGAAATGAAAATAAACTTAAACGTTTATAGCACATCTCTATCATCCTTCAATATCAATACCCGAAAGGTCTTTTTATATCAGATCAGCGTTCCGTTTAAATATGATCACGTTGTCGTCACGTAGGCGATGTTGTTAAAACGTATTCGAAGATGATTTCCAAATATTAAAATATTAAAAAGTCGATTGAACTATTTTAAATAAACAGTTCAAGAAATCCCTTCCGTTGATATAGGAAATACGTAGTGATCAATAGGTTCTTATATCTTCATACAAGCTTGAAGTCCTTAACGTTACAACATGTATTACTTTATAACATGGAAGACTTCAAGCTTGGACGAGATTATAAGAATCTATTGATCAAGTAAGGAAAGGATTTATTATCGAACTGTTTTTTAGAACTGTTCCATCGTTTTTGAAATCATTTTTGATGCGCTGATCTTATATAAAAATTTCAGTTATCTGTTTGGATTAGTTGTGCTCTTATGTCCATCGTCTTTTCGTGTTGAATTTTTATATGTTCTAATGTTAATTATGTTTAAATGAAAATGTCCATGAAGATGGTCTTAAATAGACCGAAACGTCCGACGTCGACTTTATATTAACATTAATACAGCATAATTGCATATTAAGATTTTTGTTTGTTTTTTTCTGTATTTTCTTCATACTGTCGGATCTATATCCATATATTTGCTTACATATATATATAAATATATATATATATATATATATATATATATATAGAGAGAGAGAGAGAGATTGATAGAGAGAGAGAGAGAGAGAGAGAACGCATTCTCAAATCTATATGCAAAAAAAAACCATCACTTATTTAACATTATTTTTTGCCTTCATAATTTTGAAAAGTTGCTCAGTATCGACGCAAAATGTCTGTTGTCTTTCATGTTATATATATATTTATATATATTTGGGAATGGGCATGATTGCGTATGTAAGCAATTTATGAATGTCTATACTTAACATTATTTCTTATTAGTCAAAATGTTACTTTTAGTGTATACACGTTTGAGAAGTTTGATTTTTTTCAAAACAATGAATTAATAACTCAGTGGTCAAGATCATAAAATTTTAAATAATTATATTAAATTCTGGTTCAATCCCTACCTAGAGGTACATTTTTTTTTAATGATTCTTCCGATGGTTTTTGCTGGTAGACGGTAATCTCACTATAAGCCATATAAAATTAGTAATCTTTTAAAACAAAAAAGCGTGCATTATTTTACAGATTTTATTACTTATATTTTTATTAAAAAAACACTTTTCTGTAAGAAATGGTCGCACATTAAGACATTTTGAAGTACTTATCAAGAAGGACTATTTACAGATTTACTGGAAATACACGTGTTGACCATTCTTATACATTTATCTTAAACAAAGTTACAGCAGGTACTCACATCCACGGGCACTTATGTATGCATGGACGTATGTATTTATGAAAGTATTTATTTGTGTGTGCGCGTGTGTGTGTGTGTGCGTTCACGTTCATCCGGGTTGTGTGTGTATGTTATGATTAATTCTGAAGGATTTTACTCTTTATTAATTCTTTTTAAATTCCTTTCTTTTGAAGGTGTTTCTTCTTCTTTTTTACTTTGTCCTATACCTTCTTTTGTTCATCGTTTTCATCTTTTTTATGCTTCTTCTTTTTTGCCCCTCCTCTTCTATCATCTTTCTTCGCCTTCTTTATTTCATCTTCTTTTCTTCTTTCTTTTTCTCATTGCTTATTTCATCTTATCCCACCTCTTTTCCATCTTTCTTCTGGCGCTTTTTCTATCTTTCTACTTTTTCCTATTTCATTTTCATTGTCCATTGTCTTTACATCTTCTTTATTTTTCCTTTCTTTCTCTTTCCGCTTCCTTCTCGCCTTCCGTCTTTTTCTTCCTCTTCTACTTCTCATTGTTCCTTTTTTTTTTTTCTTCCACCTCTTTTCCTCCTTCTTTCTTCTTGCTCGTTTTCTTCTTCTGCTTCGTCTATTTTATTTCTTCCTATTTCCGTTTCATTCTTTCTTGTTTCCCTTTTCTTTTCCATCTTGCTTACAGTCAGCCATTTGTCTTCTGCTTTGATTTCACGACTTAACAATCTTCATTATTAAAATCTCTTGTCTTGACTTATTTTTCTCACATTATTACGTTCTTTCTTTATTTTTCTGATTACTTTTTTTTTCCACATTTTATTACAATTTACGATGGATTGTTGACTACAAACCCTGTCTCTTATATAAAAACTGTTTTGCTTTCGTAGTGTTTCTTCGTCTTTGTTCTTTTAAATTTTGGTTAATTAGATGTTAAATAATACGGATTCTGTTTATCAGTTTGTATGCTTTCGTTAGTCGTGTGTCATTTTTCTTAACCTGTGCATGAAGATCTTTCATCATTCATTGATCTATATTTCAGTTTTATCAACCATTGGCAAGAAAATTGTTTCTTATAATTATGGCCTCTTGTTTCGTAATTTAGGCCGTCTAGTGTTTTCTATATTATCAAAGACTTTTTTTTTTTTGGCTTTTATTAGTTCTACGCACTGAATATTGCCTCATAACAACTTATTTCAAAGAAAAAAAAAGACTATTTAATACGTTAGTTCCTGAACGAAGTATTGACCCGGTTGAATGCCGCAGTAATGTTTCTGAGTGTCGCTGGGTGATTTAGTCAAAATACTAAAGAATGAATAAATTTAAAAAATATAAAAAGTAAATATATTTTCACCCAAAATTTGAAATAATTTTTAATTAAGATCCCATAAGAGTAAAATAATTGTGATTTTTAATTATTTAAAATCTCCTGACGCAATCCAGTATATTCACTTCCAATACTTGTTTGCAGTGGTCACTTGAGAATTAACATAATCACATCCGGTATTGATATATGTATATCAACATTTTACGGCATATCAACATTTTATGACATATCAACATTTTACGGCATATCAACATTTTACGGCATATCAACATTTTACAGCATATCACCATTTTATGACATATTAACATTTTACGGCTGATCAACATTTTACGACATATAAAAATTTTATGGTATATCATCATTTTACGATATATCAACATTTTACGGCATATCATTTTACGGCATATCAACATTTTACAGTATATCAACATTTTACGGCATATCAACAATTTATGACATATCAACATTTTACGGCATATTAACATTTTGCTACATATCAACATTTTACAACATAACATTTTACGAGATATCAACATTTTATGGCATGTAAATATTTTACAGTATATCAACATTTTACGACATATCAACATTTTACGGCATACCATCATTTTAAGACATATCAAGATTTCACGATATATCATCATTTTACGATATATCAACATTTTACGGCATATCATTATTTTACGGCATATCAACATTTTACGGCATATCAATATTTTAAGGAACATCAATATCTTTCAGGTTGTTTAAAGCCAAATTTCGACATTTTGAAACAAATATAGATAGTTGCACATTGACTTTGTTTGAACAACATACAAAAAGTAAACATGGATTTACTTTCCCCGAAAGTCAAAAAATGTAGACATAGGTTTGTTTTACCCCTGAGTAAAAATTGTAGTCATACGAGGATCGGCTGAAACGCTCATAGATTAGACAAGATACTGTTATGGAATGTGGACAAATGAGGTTTATTTTTCAACATAGTCCCATTTGCGGTTCACATATTTGTTCTATCGACGTTGCAGTGCATGGATACCATTGGTAAAGAGGCTTTAATCCTGTTGGACAAAAATATCATCAATAGCAATTACGACAGTTCCCAGCCAATTGTTTTTTCATGTTGGAGAACAGACATTAGTCAGGTGGATCAAAATCCGGAGAATAATTCAAAGCCACTGGCACGACCAACAACCTTTGAAACTAAGGATGTATGTGGTGGAGCATTGTCCTGGTGATACAAGACCCTTCTTTTCAGTTTTCCATGACGTTTGGTCTTGTTAACCTTTCGCAACTGCCTCAGCAATTTGGCATAGTACTCTCCATTGGTGATTTGGACATACAATTATGTTTGAAGTCTTCTTTGAACAGTCAGATGCCAGTTTATTTGGGAAGAAACAATGCAGTTATTAATAAGAAGAGCTGAAATTAATGCATGCAAGATTTCACAGCTCCTATGATTCTTGCGAGAATATCAAAAAGGAAAACATATGTTTGGTTTGTACGAGAGTTGAATAGGCTGATATAGACTTTGTTTACCCGAGAGACACAGGCGGTAGATATGGGTTTGGTTTGCGCAAGAATCAAAAAGGTAAATATAGGTTTAGTTAGCGCGGAGTTAAAAAGTTAGACATAGTTGGGCTTTGCCGAGAGTTAAAGAGGCGGACATGGGTTTGGTTTGTCCGAGATTCAACAATAAGTATATGTATTTTTCACACGAAATCCAAAAAGGTATATTTGGATTGCGTGAGAGCCAAAAAAGTAGAATCAATTAGACAGACACAGCTTTGGTTTACAAGAGGGTTAAAAAGTTAAACATAGGTACACTAAATGGGTATCTTTTTAGTGATGTTTACCCGTCTACACATGGATGCAGTCGATATGTTCTGGATTTCAATCGTCAGGGTGAATTGATATTTTGTATGGCTGGAGTTCTGTGATACATTTTACATGATTTATTTGTGTAAATGTGTGTTTTTCATATTTTTTTATCAACTTAAGTAATATTGGGTGATATTGGTTAAGAATTAAATTAAAATGCTTAAAATTATCAAACAAGTGCAGCCATTACAATATCAGTGAAGTGTTTTAACACAGTAGTCGGCAACCTACGGCACACGTACCACACATATTACATGGAACCTTAAAGCAATTCCCAATGGCACTCAGCCGTGAATGATATCTCGATGTCCGAACCAAGACCGAACGCAAAGATATTTAGCTGTTTCGATTTTAATATATACTAAAGTATATATACTATATATTACTATATAAAATATATTGTAGAACAGGTATATTGACCTTGAGTTGTATAAAAAATACGTATGCTGTTGACACACTGAATGATTTTAAAACTCTAAGTCGATACATAGATTATTTATTTATATAAATAATAATAGTAATAATATATAATAATTTTTTTATCTGCAACAATGTTTTTTTAAAATATTACGTGTGGATTGATGTTGGAAAGTGGTTGGGGTCGAAATTTTTTTAGCATGTTTTCATGTAGATAGATAGATAGATAGATAGATAGATAGATAGATAGATAGATAGATAGATAGATAGATAGATAGATTGTTCGAACTATTGTCTTCATCTTCATTGCTACATTCATAACCTACACTGATGGTCGAAATAAAGGGCTCTGTTTAATATTCCCACGTATAATACCTGAAGAAGGCCGGAACATAAAGCTGCCGAAACGTCGTGAATAGGAAAATGAAGATGAGATTTTTTTCTTGGTATGTTGAGTACATAAGTTTTTTTGTTTTGTTTTTTTTTTAATTCAGATATTAAGATATAAGTAGAAAGTCTGATGATCCAGAGCCCTTTAAAACGGCTGTGATGAAATAATTTATTACATGGAACCTTAAAATGGTCTGTTTTTATTCAATTCATTTGCTCTGAATTTACATTGAGCTCTCTGGATATCACCCTCCTTGGGTCTACCCATACGGATTACCTAGTTTTGCATAAACTATATATATATATATATATATATATATATATATATATATATATATGTGTGTGTGTGTGTGTGTGTGTGTCTGTGTATATATAGTTTTACATAAACTATATATATATATATATATATATATATATATATATATATATATATATATATATACTTCGACTAGCGGGTGGTATAAGAGGTAGCTGTTCGAATTAGAAATTGAAGAACCCAGTTCGAATTTCCAGTCGATTTCTTTATATTCACTTACGCGAAAATACTTTTGAAAATGATGTCTCCATCTCCTACCCCCAGCTATTGGTTAAATAGCAGGACTTGTATCTGGAAAAATTATTGTTATTCTCGAAATATTGTTGATAAAGTATCCACTTTCAAAAGAAAGAATTAATGAAGGATATTTAAAGCATGGCCACTGGACTTTGAAATTCCTTAAATCTTAATAGAAAATCAAGCGAAAAATGCGTTTGACACGTTGGTAATTTTTAAGCATTGTGCTCGCAAACAAAATGGTGTGTCAAAAAGGCGGTCATTATCTTGACACTGCTGTTATTTTATACACTTTTGACTCCCTCGGCAATATTTATTTACAAGATTATAAAAACATATGAAGTACAATGTGATATTTATTACTTGCCTTTTATAAAGATTTATTATTTACCGTTTTGTAAAGAAAAAAATTTGAAAAGAAATTTTCTATTCAAAAATTTTTAAATTATAAAAAAAATGGTAAAATATCTACACCAATTAGAATGCAATATTTATTACTTACCATTTCATAAACAACTATGAAAACAAGTTTTTTTATTCCTAATTTTATAAAAATATCGATTCTCAAGAATAAAGAAAACGTATAAATCTACTTTCAAATGTTTAGGTTTCATTAACATTCAAATCGTCTCTTTTTAAAACACTAAATATTACTGAGAGAGACAAAAGTGTCTACAATAATCAAAACTATATATATATATATATATATATATATATATATATATATATATATATATATATATATCAACAGTATCAAGCAGTATCAAGGGGACAAATCGCCCTTTTGATAAACCGTTTTTGCGGACATGGAGGTTAAACATTGCTGAAACTTTTATTGAAAAGGAAAGACTTTGAACAGAACCAAACCGAACTTCGAATGACATCAGATTCATCAAAAGGTTTTTTTAATGAAAAATCTATTTTTCTTACTTATTAACCTTTTAATTATTTCCAATAAGTTTGGCGGCAATCTTGACGTTTGTTCGTTTTCTGCTTTTAGCAATATTTTCAATTTCCTTTTTGATAGCGCTAAAATTGTCATAATGTTGAACGCAGATGACTCCGTTCAACATTGTTGCAATTGCAGCGTTGTGTTCCAATCACTGGAAAACTTTACAATATATATTTTTCTCTTCTAAGATTATATCTTTCTTCCCAATGGCAATCTTTGAAAATAATTATTATTAACTCTACTATTATCCACACACACACACACACACACGTATATATATATATATATATATATATATATATATATATATATATATATATATATATATATATATATAATAACAGAAGCCATTCGTTTATACCAACGGTTTCCCATGCTTAATATTTCTCGTTTTCACTCTCATGTGGCCATGTGTGACGTCCCGAGCTGCAACGCAATTTTCGCTTCCGCGTCTCGTATACACGAGTTTGTCGTTGCTTTGAAATTTTTCATGCAACAAACACAGACTATCATTATTGTTTCGTCCGTGTATTGGTTGATATATTCTCAATAGAGGTAAAGCGTCAGTGCCTACTATCATAAATGGCTCTGAAGTTATCGCGCCTTCGTGAGATAAGGCAAAGCTGTTCGAAAATATTTTAGCTTCTAACGCCATGTTAAATAACACGGCCACCCGTTTCCATTCTTACCCCTCTTATGGAGCACAAACTTAGTAATATTTCTATCACAGCCTGAGAAATCTCAAGACATCAAATTCTTCACCATAAAAAGGGCTACTCGTTCAGATAAAATCCCATTGGTTGCCTTCACGAATATTAATCCTACATTATCTCCAATCTTATCAAATTTGTTTAACCGCGGTCTAAAAGACAAAATTTTCCAAAGTCTGTGGAAAGTGTCAAGTGTATGTCTCGTTATGAAGACTGCGGATGCACACTCATTCCCGTCGTAATATCGGTTCATCAGCACTCTCAGTGTCAAAAGCTATTTTTATGTTATAATCAACAAGCAAATTTTCAAGCAACAGGAAAATCTACTGAGCGACAAATAATACTGGTTTCGATCTGCTCGGTCCACTGCTGATATCGGAATCAGCGAGGCATTATGTAATAGATACATCACCCAGGACGATCGCATTATATATATATATATATATATATATATATATATATATATATATCATCTGCAGACAGATTGTTCCACTGTATCACAACTCATCAGTGTGCCTAGACGTCTGGTTGCCTCTAGCTAGGATCGAAACCCGTCACTTGGGGATTCTACCACTAAGCCGTTGGCGCATGGCAGGGATGAAGGTGAATTTAAGCGTATTTATTTTTAGATAGATACGCAGTGATTGAGAGAACTCGATTCGATTTTTCCGAAGACTCGTGCATTATTATCCGTAATAGTTACTGTTTACAAACCCACACTTCCTCTCCAGAACTAAATTTTTCAGGCGCATATATATTGTCATCCACAGATATATATCAAAAGCATTTGACAAAATGTGGAATAGAGGGTTGCTACATAAGCTCTGGGATCACTGGTAGAGTTTTCTCAATTATCAAGTCCTTCCTAGCAGGTAGGTCCATGAAAGTAGGTGTTAATGAACAGTCCTCCGAGGCCCATGAAATCAATGCAGGCGTACACCAAGGTGCGCCTCTCGGTTCAACCCACTTTTTGCTTTATAATGATGATCGGTCTAAGAGAATGCTCCTGTTATAAAATAAAATAAGAGATATCTCGGCTGATTTGCAGGCAAATAAACTAACATACTCAAGAGCGAGAGCCGGATGTGAACAGGACAAGGCCCCGTCACAAAATGACCATTATCGTCGTTTGCACATAGACCCGACGCACGAGTTCCGGTCGAAAAATAAAATAATATTTTAAAGTGTTTCTATTTTTTGACCAGTCTGGGCAGTCAGCAGGAGGAGCGCCACGCCAACCAGTGAGAACTACTATGAGAGATCAATCCAGATCGGCAGCCGGCTTATGAACTATACCACAAGGTAGCTGTCCCAAAACCACACGTTCCTATTAAATAAATCACGTAAATCTATTTCTGCTGTTGTTGTATTTCTTTCTTGCAACCATACGCTTGTCTATAACACTGCGATTTCTTCTAATATCTATACAGGTGATACAACGGTACACAAGTCTCCCCCCCCAAAAAAAAAATCTAGATGGTCATAATTCCCGTTCACTTCAATGTAAACCTCTTCAAGTCTAGGGTTAACCGTTATATTTCCCACATATCCTCAGAAACTGCGCTCCTTACCTTTTACCGCTCACACAACAACCACCTTCAGTAATCCTCTAACTTAACTCTTAGTAAACGACAGTGCCGATCCGTCGGCACAATAATACAAACCTCGAGATTAGCTTCTTACCAGCCAATCAGATTGCTTCTTATATTTCTTGCACATCTGGAAGCAGTTTCAATGGCGGTTTGCTGTGTCCTGTGATTTTACATCGATATTATTTTTTTCTTTTTGTGTGTGGGTGTTCCAAGTGAGGGTATGTGGAAAGATCTCAGTCTTGGCACTGAAACTCCAAATGAAGCTCCGTCTTTAAAGGGTTAAGTGATCCTTGAGCTTTGTATAGGATAAACGTTAGTAAAGAAAAAAATATTGTACTTACGTATATATTCTTTTTTAGAGGAAGTGAGGAACTTTGTAATGAATGGTAGAAAACACAAATCCCTTCTTGTATTATTTAATTCTGTTCGGTAAAATATGAATATGATTAATTTTGAACGTGGTTTCTGCGATCAAATTGCAAATAATACATTTTTCTTCAGATTTCTTATCGATTGTTTTTCTATCAATGGCTTTTCTTTAGATTTCAATATGAGTCAGCAAAATGCATTCTTTTAATGAAATCTTTTTAAGAAATCACAAATAGTGCACGAGAATGAATTATTTCGAATTTAATTTAAAATAAATTCAAATAAATAAATTTATAAATGAATTTATATAAATATTAAATATATGAATAACTTATATATTTATTCATATAAATAATAAATAAATCATTATTATTATGATTATTATTATTATTATTTATGTAAATAAATCTGATAATTATTTATTTATTTATTTAAATAATAAAAATAAAATATAATAAATTAAATTTCTTATCTGCAACAATGTTTTTTTTTTAAATATTACGTTTGGACAGATGTTGGAAAGTGGTTGGGGTCGAAACTTTCTTAGCATGTTTTGAGATAGATAGATAGATAGATAGATAGATAGATAGATAGATAGATAGATAGATAATGACCAGTCTAAGATAGATAGATAGATAGATAGATAGATAGATAGATAGATAGATAGATAGATAGATAGATAGATAATGACCAGTCTAAGATAGATAGATAGATAGATAGATAGATAGATAGATAGATTATTTACATTGTTCGGACTATTGTCTTCATCTTCATTGCTACATTCATAATCTACACTGATGGTCGAAATAAAGGGCTCTGTTTAATATTCCCACGTATAATACCTGAAGAAGGCCGGAGCATAAAACTGCCGAAACATCGTGAATAGGAAAATAAAGATGAGATTTTTTCTTAGTATGTTGAGTACATAAGATTTTTTTGTTTTTTTGTTTTTTTGTTGTTGTTTTTTTAATTCAGGTATTAAGATATAAGTAGAAAGGTATATAAAATATGGGATATTAACATAACTTTTATAAGCAAATTTTGACCTATTCTCGAACTGTATAACGTGTAGAATAAGTACGGATGTAAATGAATTTATTTGATACTATTACTAGTTTTATATATATATATATATATATATATATATATATATATATATATGCGCAAAAATCATGTTAAGAATCATAATCTAAGATAGATTAGGAGAACATGGACACAATATCATGACCATGTTTAGAAAATGAAAACATCATATAAATACATACAGAGAACAAACTATTTCTGGTTAACAGTTAATATATTTCAACCTTGAAAATGGCTAAATGTATAGTCGAAAGCGCTCGGATGAAAAGAACAAATGGACAATTTTTATATAATTTATCATCCGAAAAGAAAAATAAATTATTTGATCACATAAGAAATTGTATAAAAAGCTAATGGAATGTGCATGAATATACATATATTCAACCTCACATCAGTAAAGCGTAAATTAATATTTACCTTAATATGAAAATGAATAATGAAGAATGGACGGTTCGCCTCCGAAACACCAGAGAGTGTTGGTGATAAATATATATATATATATATATATATATATATATATATATATATATATATATATATATATATATATATATAAACTGTGTTATATTATACATAACCAAGATAACCTACGTCCTGAAAGAACACGACACATAGATGTTATTGTTAAAGCTGTAAATCAAATTGAATATATATATATATATATATATATATATATAGGTATAGATTTGAATAAATCAAACGATCAGATATAAGCAACCGTATACGCGCGTGTTTTGGCGTGCATAGACAACAAATCAGTGCTCGATGTGGTTAGACAGAGTAAAGATATATATTATAAAATATACAAATACAAATATCAACGTTTCGGTGCGCGACGTAAGTTTTGCTGGTTGTCCAGCTCATCGGGCACAAAGTATATTTTATGTTTTAGATAGATAGATAGATAGATAGATAGATAGATAGATAGATAGATAGATAGATAGATAATGAAATATATTAATTGTTTATAACTGTTTATACGTTAATTAATACATACAATTCTATCCATAAAAATAGCGTATGAATAGAAAATATATTAAATAATTGTCGGACTTAATTCATTTCATTATATGTTGTCACTGTTTACGTTAAGATACGTTACGTGAACAGATATGATCGACCGAGAAAAATAGTGGAAAATTGTGTTTATAAAAAGTAATTCGGACTTTGCTAACCAGAGCTTTCTCGGTAGCTGAATAGTATAGCACGTCAGACCAAATGACGGTTTCTGTATAGGAATACAAGTTCGAGATTTGTCGGAGAGCGCATATTTTCTACGAAATTTCTCGAACATTCAGGCCAGTAAATGTAACTAATATTGTTTAAATAAAAACAGACCATTTATTTAAATAAATTGTATCAATAAAAATAACGTATAAACAGAACACACACACACACACACACACACATATATATATATATATATATATATATATATATATATATATATATATATATTATTAGCGGCCGGATTCAAAATACTGGGAGGTAAATGCTGTTTTATCCTAAAATCCATACATATATATATATATATATATATATATATATATATATATATATATATATATATATATATGTGTGTGATAAAAAGTTCTAAGGTATATTATATTTATTAGAATAGAGCGTATGTAAATATAAAAAGTGAGCATTGAAGTCCACACCCAGAGGCGACAGACTGTGTCATAAAAGCAAACGCAATCGTCATGGCCTGACGATTGCGTTTGAGAATGAAACAGACTGTCGCCTCTGGGTGTTTTCTTCAATGTCCACTTTCATAAATACACACACACACACACACACACACGGTGTTTACTCGTTCCCCCACAAAAACGAGATGTGACACAAGGTCGGTTTAATGTGGGGACCCGAGCGCGTACACCCGGGCAGGGACAAAAATTTCCCTCAGCCCCCGCAACCGTCGGTTGCGCTGGCCTCGGTGCGAGCACCGATCCCTCCCTCTGATGCAGTGGGAGGGCGCGGCCTCGGGCAGCTGTTCCCCAGGGCTGGGAACCCCTTCAGTATTATTTCCTCAGTTGCCCCTCCGTCCTTAGACAGAGAAGCCCCTAAGCGTACTCTGTCCAAGGACAGAGACGCAACTGAGAGATGATAAATGATGCGCGTACACCCCTCCAAGGAGGGGGAGCACGACACACACACAGATAGATAGATATGAAAAAAGAGAAATACAAGTTTGAAATATACAGATCCATAGACAGACAGACAGACACATAGAGTTAGAGCGCGATAGATAGATAGATAGATAGATAGATAGATAGATAGATAGATAGATAGATAGATAGATAGATAGAAATGATTAAGGGCAAAGTGAACAGAATCAGAAACGAAAATATCGACATAGAAATGAACAAACAGAAATGCATAACAAGTTATGTAGATAGATAGATAGATAGATAGATAGATAGATAGATAGATAGATAGAAGGGGAGAGAGATGAGTAGTCTTAAACATACATATCTATGTGTATAAACACATACGTGGGGAGAGAGTGGTACATACATTAATACATACAAAAATGATGTGGAAAGGCATTTGAATGATATTGTTGGAAGATTTAGCACATTTGCATGAAAGATAAAGATCTATGATAGAAAACGGAAGAAAACTGAATTCGCTTTTGATAATGTGTTTTCTTTTCTGTCTCTAAACTTGCTTATGTGCGCGTGGAGGTGTATTCTTCGTTGTTTCTATACGTGTGATTCAGCTATCGTTCTCTATAATTGAATTCATATATCTATAACCTGCTGCATTTTGCTAGCGTCTCACAGACACACATATATATATATATATATATATATATATATATATATATATATATATATATATATAATCCTATTCCCTTCACCACGCTTCACGTCTACCCCGAACAATTCCTCGAAGCACACACCTTCTTCCAGACTTCCCCACAAATTCCTACGCTTTACTCTTGTTCTTTTTCTGAATAGATGAACCCTTTTTCTCCCCTTCATCTTAACAACATTTTGGCTTCTTCGTTGTCTTTTGTGATAGAACGGAGGACTTTTCCCCTAAAATCAATGGCTATTTTTCCTTCGTAGGATTCGTTCCATCTTACATTCATTCACGCATTTATTTTCCAATTTGGTCGTTTTTCTTTTCTTTATCGAAATCTTACATTTATTTCCTCTTTTATTTCCTGTAACTTTTTTATTCTCTCTCTCTCTATCTCTCTCTCTCTCTCTCTCTTTCATTACACTTCTTCTCTTCCTCCTTGGCCGCTTTCTTCGTCTTCTCTGTTTCATACCTTTCCACATATCTTATCTCAGACTATTTCCTTTTCTTCATTATCTCTCTGTTTTAGGTTTGATGTGTAGTGTAAGAGGTATGAAATTGAAAAAAAAATTTTACCTGCAAGAAAACCTATTTCTCTGTTTTCTTCTTCTTCCTCTTCTTCTTCTTCTTCTTCTTCTTCTTTATGCAGCTCTTCTCATCAAATACGTTATCCTAATAGGTCAAAAATTGAAAAAGAAAAAGTACCTGCAACAAAGCCAATCGATAATGGGCAGTTGACTGGGGGCGCGAATAAAAAAATAAAGAAGGCAACTTTCACTCGTTGAATGGTCAAATTCGTTTGACGGTAGGACAACTGAAAAAAAAATCTGATGAGTCATTGCCGCCACTGAGACTAATCCGAAATCAGCTATAAAGTAAAATATTTTCTTTTACCCTAACAAAGTCAACCATCTTAAAAGTAGCTCTTGCAACAGAATAAGCACAAAAAAAAAACGCTAATCGATGCCTTCCATTACGCTGCAAATTAACTTCGAAAATTTGCCATTTTTTTCAACTGCATAAGTGAATGAGTAATTTTGTTCGTGTCTATGTATACCTGCGTACATCTCTGTTCATTCATTAAACATACTTGTGTATACGTCAGTGTGTGTATTAGTACACATGTATTTGTATGTGTTTCATTCTCTCATTGAAAATGCGTATATTATAAAATGCACTTAAGCTTGCCTCTATATATATATATATATATATATATATATATATATATATATATATATAGAGAGAGAGGGGGGGAGGGAGAGAGATGCTTATATATGTATAGTTTTATTGATATAAACTAGCGAGCAAACGAAATGAGTTGCCTATCTAAAACAAATAATCAATTTATTCAATTTCTACTCAGAAGCTGTAAGTGTTCGACAAAGTACGAGGGTGTCCAAAAGTAAAGTATAAATAGCTATAAAACGCGCGGAATTAAAACATTGTGAAAGCTGTAAACACTAAACAACAGGGGGGGTGCAATGCTTCTTGTAACAGCCAGAACAGCCTTAATATTGCGTACGTGACGTCACAACAAAGATAACTGGCATCATAATACCATAGACCAATGAAGAGGTGCGAGGTCGAATAAGATTTTTGCATGCCAAGGGCAAAAGTCCAACTTTAGGTTCCAAAGCAATTGACCGCTGAACAAAAGATCCAGCGTACGGGGATTTTTTTCAGCTTTTGGAATGCTATAAGCTAACTGGAGCCATTGATTACGGGCTTGAGACCTGGGGGCATCATGTTAACCTGGAGACAAACGTGGATTCCATACCCTGCGAGCTTCCACTGTCATCGATCTCCAAAATGCAAAATTCAGCAGACAGTGAACAAATTGATGGTTTGTTCTGGGATGCAAACTGTGTACCAGTCTTAAACTTTATACTGGATCAGGCAATAAAGGTTAAAAAAAAACTGAATATAATGAACGAAAAAGACCAGAACTTTTCTATAAGTGTGGATTATCAACGCCAATCAACACACAATCAGCGATGTGGTTGGGGTATTCTCTTGAATCTAACACACCATTTTGATTTAGATCCTACTAAGTTATCTTTCTTTTTATTACGCTGTGTATGGAGATGAATGCTAAACAATCTCAGATGAGAAGTTTGTCGCTGCTCACATATTCAGTCCATAATTATTCTCAGCATCCTTCTGTAAAACCACATTTCTCTTGCTTCAATTTTTTTTTCTTCATCTTTGATGAGATGATGTCCAGCATTCACTGCCATATAAGAGGGCAGATATGATATAACAGTTAAGCACTTTTTTCATTGTTTCTAACAACATTATCCTGTTTCTTAATAATTTGCTTAATTTTTGGAAAGTATCTATCGTTATCCAAACTCACCTTCGGATTTCGGTATCGTACTTTCCGTTTTCGGTTAAAACACTTCCCAGATATTTAAATTCTTGTACTGGCTTGATTTTTGGTATCTTCAATTTGTAATTTGCATGTTGGGCTCTTCCTTTCGCTGACAACCGTACATTCGGTCTTCTTGCAATCGACGTTTGGTTCTTACTCCTCGCTTTCCTTCGTTACCTTTTGCAGGGGGTACATATATTTTATGACATTTGTGTCTATTTGTTAGGTTGAAAAAGGAGCTGCGCGTGGATACGTATGTTAAGAAATGAATAAGAGTCGCCGCTTGAAAAATTGTCTTAATGAGTTAATTGCATAAGTTTTCGCATACGCACTGCACCGAACGCCTTAATGTCATCTTATATGTCTTTGTGTGAGAAAGAGTTAGAGAAAAGAGTTACTTCGTGATGGTTTCAGGCAAAGTCATGCTGGATAGCACTTTTATTTACGTGTTTATTAGTTTACACATGCTGTTAAAAATGACGGCCTATTTGTTCTTCCTATTTTTAGGTTTTCACATGTGAGTCTTTCAATATATTTCTCTAATTATTATAGCAATATTTAGTGATTCCAGGATTATCAGTTTATTACTTGATTTTACAATAACGTTTACCCTTCACAATGCACAAGAGCCACTCGAGGCAGAAAGTTACAGAATAAGAGACAACGTTTATGGTGAAATGTTGGGAAGAAGTCTGCTGACCTGAGATGGAACAAATACATTGAGTCAGTTGGCTCCCTGTGCCGCGCCAGGAAATTTTTCTCCCCGGAATCGATCCTTCAAATCTACAAATCAACCATTCGCCTTTGCATGGAGTATTGCTGCCATATATGGTCTGAAGCCCCTTCTGTTTGCCTCGGGGTTCTTTATAAAATCCAGAGACGGATATGCAATGTCATTGGCCCTGATCTGGTATCTCGTCTGCAGTCGCTCTCTCACAGACGTGCCGTCGACTCTCTCTGTCTTTTTTACAAATACTTTCATGGTAATTCCTCTGATGAGCTGCTAGCGCTGGTTATCAGACTTCATGAATTCAAGCGTCCTACGAGACTGGCATCCCGCTCTCACCCTTTCACTGTTGAAACTGTTAAATGTAGCCGCCTCTTCTACTCCAATAACTTCATACCTCGCACCTCTCGCCTGTGGAACTCCCTTCCCTATTCCAGTTTCCCTGATAGCTATATTCTCCAACTATTCAAATGTAATGTCAATCGACATCTGTTGCCTTGATCTATCCACTATCCTTCTCCTCATTCTTTCCTCTATCACTTCTATCTGCTCTCGCTCCAAATGTAACCCCTTGCGTATTAGTGTCTTCCCGCCTTGCTTGCGGTGAAATGCTTAAAAATAAAAGAAAAGATAAAGGTTAACGCTAGACTGGAACATGTTCAGATTGTACTGGTCGGAGAAAAAATCCTTCTGAGAGTCAGACCCACAAAGTAGCGGTTCGTGGGAATAAGCTGTTCGAGTAGATCTTACTTTCTCACCAACGGAATACGAAAGGAAATAGGGTGGATCGCTACAATGTGCGTGGCATAACGGATCTTAGCCATGAAGGTTAGAATTGGTTGAACTAAGAGATGTATTTCGCATGGCAATATTGATGGAGTAAGGAGAGCATTGCAATGTTTCGTCTGTGGAAAAGGGGTTGTAGAGAAATAATAATTCATCACACACAACGAAGCTTTCTAGGCCCTATCGAGACTATATGGTGGCGGTACTCCATTTTCGGCCTGATCTGGCTTTTGTAAAGGTAGAGGATAGCGGAAGGCGTCAGGTACTTACTAGAGCTGTACAAAGAACCGATCACTTTTCCATCATCTTTAGCGATGTGCACATAAAATACATCTGATCTTACGAAGCCCTGGTCTGAAAGAGCTTCACAGTTCGCCACGGTTCAATTACACTTTTAAAGAATACACATGTCTAAAGCATACCAAATCAGACGATTATTTCCAAGATATAGTGTGATACAATGTCGAACATTGTCGAAGGCCATTTTTTATTAGGATACTCAAATACACAGCTATATGTAATTCATACTGTTTAAAAAGTACCTGGCGCCTATTCAAACAATAAAATATAACATTTAATTATATAGGAACACGAATACGCCACAAACATTTTAAAATATGTGCAATAGTCTTTATGTGTTAGCGCTTGTCATTAATAGTTTTTCCAACTACTCAAGTCCGGAATTTTTCCACAGTATACCTAGTTACCTCCCCTTAAACGGTATCCGCGTCACTCAAGCCATGACACATCGTTTTTGACTCCATATATAAAAATGATAATTTTCGGATGACCAGAACAATCTTCGTCCTTCACAACCATGAACACTAAATTCTTACTCTATAATTAACAATACCCTGATGATGACATTACACTATGTCGAAAGTACTCCGAATACACACAATATGAGCCAACACGGTGTTTTCCTCTCGTCTTTTAATAACCGCACAAAAAAGCTTATCCGCGAATATGAAAGGATCCTATCGAGAATAAGTAGACAGAACATGTTTAAATTATTTAACGAAACCTGTCTTCATATATATATATATATATATATATATATATATATATATATATATATTTGTGTCATTCGCAGACAGTAATGTTTCGCTGTATCACAGCTCCTCAGTGCAACTAGACATCCGAATGCTTCAAGCCAGGACGGAAACCCGACCAATTTGATGTCAGTCATAGTTTACATACACATATATATATATATATATATATATATAACTGTTAAGGTAATTGAAATTATTTCCAATATATTTCTCCTCTTCAGGCAAATACTGAGGGTTACAAATCATGGGTGCTCTTAAGTAGAATTCGATGATATTTCCGGATTTTATTTTGTAGATATGATGGAAATAGAAATTTATAGGATCATTTTTATTATTAGATTTTTGAAGGACACTAAGATTTAAGCTGATGTCAATGCGGTGTAGCATGATGTCTAGCAAAAATAATGTTTTCTTCAATTCTGTATGTAAATTCTATTTTATGTTCGACTTTCTTAATTTATCTCCAAGATCGGGTAAATCAGTATCACGGGGATACATTAACATAGCGTCAACAATATCTCGGATGTACTTTGCTTGTTTGAGTGAAACATCTCGAAAAGAACCAGATTCCTATCATAAAAAAAAAAATCAGGAATAATCATCGGATTCTACTTAAGAGCACTCAGAATTTGCAGCCCTCAATATTATATATATAAATATATATATATATATATATATATATATATATATATATATATATGGGGGAGTGAGTAGCCATGGTCCAACAAACAGAATTTGTCAAGGTTTGTAATAACAAGAAAAGGAAAGATATATATTTATATATATTATAATATATATA